AATTTTTAAGATCAGATATTAAGGCAAATAATGTAAAATGTTAAGCATGTGCGTGAGGAGTAGTTTATGAGTGTCTGTATGAAGTAAGGATGCTCGTAGGAATATTGTGTGTGGGGACTTTTGGCAGAATCCTGACACCGTAGAGCCAGAATATGATGGAGAAACTGTGTCTCTCACTGCCCACAGCAGAGCTGTATTCAGTGTCTGGGGAGAGGGTAGTCTTGGATCTGACCCTTGCCTGCCTGACCAAGAGTAAAATAAACAATCTAACTGTGCCAACTGCTCTGTTTTGTCCATTCGTGCCTGTAGAGCGTGACACTTGAAGTCTCTGCTGAGACTGCTGGTCCCTATCAGGTCCTGAATGAATCGGTAAGATGACTTGCAAATGGCTACAAGTATGAGAACTGAATTAAATTGAATGTTGCATGTTGTTTATTCCTCTGTAATGTTTCTGTGGAGAGATAAAACACTTAAGAATTCAGGGACCTTGGAGATAATTTTCTTTTATTAAATTTTTATTGTTAAATTACATTAGTTTTACAATAATAATTCAAACCATGATTTGTATGTATATTTGCCTTTACTAAACACACCTTAGCTAACAATGAGCCTTAAACATTTATGTTTAATAAGTATTCTAATCATTTATCCTTGAAACACAATTTATTCAAGTTTTATTTAGCACCAATTCATTCTTAGTGATACAATTGTTTATTGTTTTATATAACTATTTATAAGCATATCTACTGGTTTGAGTGCTTTCGTGTATTTTATGTAGTCTTTCACTATAATTGGTATCAAATAGCATTCATTTTTTTAATTCTCCATTTTCAACTTAACACATATTCATGCACTTTCCCTTTGCTTTGTTGCCTTTTTATCATGAAGACATTTAAGTAGATGATCTAGTGAGTGGTCCTTTTTAAGGAGGAGATAAATTCAGGAATCCTCTGCAAAACAGTAAATGGAAACTGCTTGTTTCCTAAAGCTACAGTAGAGCCAAGTAGTAGATTGAGAAAACAAGAGGGCCCATCAATGAGCCCTGTGGGACCCTGCAAAAAAATCAGAGGATGATTCTAAATCACCCACTTTGACAAAGAAAATTTAGTCAGTCAAATAACTAAGCTATGCAGTGCACTACTTTTAACACCTACACATTGTTCTAAATGAGAGATTGAAATTGCATGGTCTATTGTGCCAAATAGATCAAGGAGCACAATAATCAAGAAGGTTGATGGAGTCTTTGCTAGGAGCACATCATTGAAAACTCTTAAAGGGGCATATTTTACTATGCAAACCCTTAAAACTAGATTGACGTATTTCTAAAATGTCAAGTTGTTCAAATAAAGAC